GACGAGTTCATCAAGTGCAGACACGAATAATGGGAGGAGGTGATGGTGCATTCAACGGGACTGGTGACTCCTCAGTGGTAGGAACAATGGGATGACTATCAATAGGAGTGGGATAGGGACAATGTCGGAAAACTCAAGCTCCCCCTCAGTAGAGGTCGAGGTAGAAAAATAAGGAACACTTTCAAAAAAGGAGATATTAGAACTCATTTATATTTTGTTTGTAGTCGGATCAAGACACGAATACCCCTTTTGAGTTACGAAGTATCCAAGGAAGATACATTTTATGGATGTGGGATTAAGTTTACTCCGAGAAGGGAGCAGGATCAAGTTTACTCCGAGAAGGGGCAGTGTTCCAAACAAAAGCAGTGCACCCAAAAATTTTGGTATCTAATGTGGAGAAGACCCAATTGGTAAGGAAGTATAACATCATGACAGCTAAGGGGGTTCAAAACTTATGAATTTTGAAGGGGACTATTTATGAGATAGATGACAGTTAGAATGACATCGTTCCAAAAACGTTTCGAGATGTTGAATTGAAATATAATGGAGCGAGCAACGTCGAGGATGTGACATTTTTCCTCTCGACTACCACATTTTGTTGATGAGTGTCCGTATAAGGACTATGGTGGAGGATGCTTTTACTAACCAAAAATTCACTCAAAATAGAGTTGAAAAACTCACAAGCATTGTCGGTTCGAAGAACTTGGATTTGAATTTTGAATTGAGTTGACAAAGGTGTAGAAGTTTTGAAATGTTACAACGATTTCCGATTTATCTTTTAAAATGTAGACCGACATCATTCGAGTGTGGCCATCAATCAAGGTTAAAAACCACTATTTATTGGTGTAACTGGGAGTGCAACAAAGAACCCATATGTCACTGTGAATGAAGGAGAAATGAATGGAAGATGTGAAAGTGTGAGTTGGGTAATGAACTCGGTGATGTTTAACTAATTGACATTTCTCTCAATTAAATTTTGAGAGATATTTATTAAAAACATCAAAGATACAACTTTTTCAAATATTGAAAACGAGAATGTACTAAACGACAATGTAATAACATAATGAGACATTCAATGAGTCAAGATAGGCTACAACTTTTGAGTATTATGTCTTCACTCTTCGTGTTCTCTTTTTAGAAGTAGTAGAGTCTGGATACCCTTCTAACAGTTTCAATCATTCTCCCTGAACGACGATCCTGAAAAACACAATCATCGGAGGAGAAATTAGCAATGCAATCGATATCATTTGTCAACTTGCTGACGAATAATAAGTTACATTGCAATCGGGGAACATGTAAATAGATTTTAAAGTTAGATCGGTCGTTAGTACAATCGACCATTTACCAACAATGGGACTACATGACCCATCGACAATTCTGACGATATTTTTTTTCCAAAGTATGGATTGAAATTCGAGAAAGCTTACGAGCAGCCAGTCATGTGATCCAATGCATCTGAATCCATAATCCATGGACTATAGGAGGAATAAACTGTGAGAGTCATATGAATAGTACATTGTCGTACGTGAGAGGTCGATGGACTCGAAAAGACTTGATTGGCTCAAAAAAGCTTGGTCAATTGCTCTATTTGGTTCTTAAGGGATTTAGAGGATTCTTTGATATTCCGGGTAGGAATCGGTTGTGTCGTGTCTGGTTTAGCCATCTTCGTGAGTCTCTTGGCTGCAGAGGATTTGGTTGAAGGTTTATATGTCGGCTTATCGTGAAGTTTCCAATCCTTGTCCCGAGTGTGGTTGGGACTGTGATAGTAATCACAAGTAGGGTGACCAATCTGATATGGCATGGACGAGGGTTGAGCACTATTGTAGATTAAGGCGAATGATTCAGCTTAAGGGGTATAAGTGCGAGGATGCCAAGTCTTCTACTTTCTTCACGATGAATCTTGGTAAAAGCAGCGTGAGCGGAAGGAATAGGATCCCGACCAAGAATACAACTCCTGACTTTATCAAGGTCTTTGTTAAGATCAACAAGGAATCAGAACATACGATCCTTTTCTACGATCTTATGGAAGAGGGAAAAGTCAGTCGGAGTATCCCAAGTGTAGTCATAGTATATGTCGCATTACATTCATAGTGCAACAAGATCATTATAATATTGGTCATGAACTTGGATCACTGTTTTGCCTCCTGGATCTTCTTAGATACCTCATAGAGTTAACCAGAATTTCCTACATCATAGTAGATATCACAGACAGTCGTTCAGAGGGCACTAGCAGTAGAGAGGAACACGTATGAACTATCAATTGAGGTCTCCATGGAGTTTATCAGCCATGACATGATCATGGAGTTCTCCACTTCCCAAGCTCCATAAGTCGGATCAGTCTTTGGAGGCTCACGAATCACACTTGTGAAGTAACCAAACTTCTCACATCCTTTGATGAACAAAGACACCGCTTGGGACCATTAGAGAAAGTTATTATCGTTCAATTTCTGGTTTGTAATTAAGAAACTCATGTTGGTTTCCCATCCTCCAGTCTGCAAGGGAGCGGAAATTAAGTTGATCCTCTGGTGGAATCCAGAACACTTTCCGGAGGTGGTTCAGAGTTTAAGGAAACCACCATAATTTCGACTGAGCCAAAGGATATATTGTTGTGATTCTAAGCCATCGATGAATTTTGGTAGAATCGTGATAAAAAGATATAACTTCAGGATTGCAGGGAGCAGGACATTTGCAGGAAACCTTCCTAAAGAATAGTGATAACAGGAATAGAGGAGACCGACGACAAGATGGGGCAAACCAGCGATGCACGCTAGAGCAGAGGAGACTGACTGCTTGACCTTGCAGGGAAGCCGGTGATTGCGCAAGAACAGAGGAATTCTGCAGCAAAAGGAATTGGACAAGTGGAAGCTTGAACTGTGGGATTCCTGCAGTTTGTTGTGCCCGGTAGAGGTTGTCGCCGGATTCCTGCGTGAACCTACAGTTCGTTGAACCCGATAAAGGATGTTGCTCCTCTGATTGTCGTGATTCCTACAGGAACAGAGGATGTCGATAAGTTCCTAAAGAATCAGAGGACTCCTATTGTTTGCTTGAACCAGCGACTAGGAGGAGGAGGAGGTGGCGGCTGCAGGAACCGGTAGAGAAGGCATAATTTTATTGGCACGAGGAGAGGTATTTAAAGCCAATTATAATAAGCCTAATAATGGAAAGCAATCAAAACATAAAAAAATAATAAGGAAAAAAAAATCAAACATAATAAAACAAAAGAGGAAAAATAGAAACAGGGAATAAATTCAAATAATTAGTAATAACGCATGGGTATAGCCATTACAATCTAACATATTTAATAGAATTTTGAAACATAAATTTTCAACCATTATGAAAGAGAACTTATGCACAATAATCATCTTAGCAATGATATTTTTAACCCAATAATGCTAATAAGAAATGGAATCGCATACACAGTTCTCTTCAAATTTTTTATAGTTCGATTTTTTTTTTTTTTTCATTTTCATTTTTCCCAAGTGGTCTATTTTGTTATAACGATAATTTTTTGTATTCTTAGGAATCTAAGAAGTTGTGTTACATCTTTGTTTTACATATGACCGAAGGTAAACATAACATTTCCAATTTTTAACAGATTTTCCCTTTAGCTTAACACTAAGTCGAGTGAAATGATCACATATGTTTGATCTTTATTTCTTTCCTTCATTTATCTTCTACATCAACAACGTAAAAATAGATATGTACACTACAGCTGCATTGCCAGACTCTCACTGGCTAAATTTAATGCTAGACTCATTTTGGTTCAAATTGCTCGAAGAAGGTGAATCATACCAATTAATAACAACTAATTCTAAAGATAAAAAGATAAAATGAGATAAAAAACCATTGCAGAATAACAGTGTACGTGCACTAATAGAACAAAGATAGGTGTGTCAAAAATTGACCTTACACCAACTCGACTCAAAAAATTTGGTTTCGGATTGACCAAAATAATTTTCAAGTCAAGTTTGGGTTAGGAATCAGAACCAGTTTAATTTTTCTGGTCAGGTTTAGGTACAAATACACATGCAAGTACAATAGGACGAGCATAAAGCCATAGGTTACACGAAAATATCACAAAATCTAGCACATAGAAAGAGAAAAAATAAGCATAATTGTAGTTTAATACAGCAAGCACATCCGTAAATCATGTATAACCATTCACGTCAATGTATGTAGCGATGCATGGACTATAAATAGTAGTTCATGTCAGTGTAAGATACCAAAGTACTGATCAAGCCATTTCAGCTGCGAACAAATCAATAAAACATTTAAGCCTGTTTCACTTTAAAACATGTAAAGAGTCATAACAGTATGAATCAATATTAGAATTAATCAATACATTAGTACCATACGTCTACATCATTCTTTAGTAAATATAACGCATGTAAACAACTGCAAATGACATTCATTTATAATGCACTTAGCAATAAGTTATCATCAATTTCACTGATGAGGCTATCCTAATTATAATAGGCTGGGTGCCCATCAGCTAGAAGTATGCCTACCCATGTCAACATCCATCTAAGCATAGCATCCTTAACATCTCCCTTTAATTAATCAATACCTACAAATGCCCCATCTCTGTGTATCAATAAGACAAGCTCATTCCACTAGCACTCTTACGCAACATTGTACAATCAAACAATCAGAGAAAAATCATTTAGCCAATAATTTCATTGCATATATAAATTCGATAGCATTCATATAACATAACCGACACGTCCAAATCTCATACAGGTTATATATCGTGTCACGTATCAACAAACAATTCATGAATACTGATTTAAAATGATGGAAAATTATAAAATTGCATTGAAACATAAGAATTTGGAATATGCCAAAATTTTATGGTAAATTTTTTCAGTAAGTCGTCAAATCTTTGTTTCACAGAAGTTCATACAAAGAAAATATGAGGAAATATATGAGAATCAAAATCATCAAGTTTTGGGATATTAAAACGATAACATACCTCACAAAGAATATTTTGTTTCCAACTGGACAAACTTCTATTGACCCCTATGACCTCCAATCTCTTCCGTTCTCTCACCCTCTCATTCTCTATCTCTAAGCATCTATAAAAGTCATGGAATCATAAGAAAGCTCCTTAAAATTGGATAAGAGCATTTTGGGAGTAAAAGAGGGAAAACTATCACCAAAAAAAAATGTCCAATAAGACAATGATGAACATTTCAATACATGACTTAAAAAATCCTAAAAAATAATGCATAAAATATTTCCCTAATGCACAATATACTAGCACAAATCTCTCGCAATCAAACATAAAATGACTCCATAAAACTCATTCGCATAGGCTGACATCAATCGTAACCTCAATCATAGCATATCACAATTCATTGAATTATATACCTTTAATGAACCCGATCATACATAAAATGTTTGATTGTATGTAAGTCCATCTAGTGAGCAATTTGCTTGAAATACCATCAAATATGCATACAAAAGGCAATGATCAATCATGCATATACAAAAAATTGCATCCACAAAAAACTTTAGAAAGAATTAAAAATCCATTGTTCTATCAAGAAGAAGTCGGGTGGGTCACTACACAAGTGGGTGCTACACCTTGTTTGGGAAGAGGCACACTAAAGAGACAAGGGAGATGTCAAAGAGTCATCTCGAAGTGAAAGGAAGTGAGGAGAATTAAGTTGATGAGTGGTTTTATAGCCCTAGGGTCATGATAACATGAATCTGCACCATTTATTCATTTATTAATGGCTAAGAAAAATTATAGAAATTAATCCAAACCTTTATCATCAATTCATCAACATCTAAAGAAAACAAAAAGAGGAAGAGAATTGAAATCAAATGCTGCCATCGAACAAACTGAAATAGCTTCTATCATAAGAAACCATTAAACCATGCATTATTTTTATTTATATCCACCAAATATAATACATACACACACATAAAATATGGTAAAATTTGAGACAATCACAAGCTAGGTCGACCCAATCTATTTTTTTCTCAAAAATTTATAAAAAAAAAGTGTATTTTTTTGCTCAAGTATCAGTTGAATCACTTTGATTTGAGATAAATCTAGTCTTCAAGTAATCTTCAATAGCTAAACTCTCACCCCTAACTATAATAGATGAGGAATATAAACGCAGAGTTTAGTTGAATAGATTAGCTACCACTTGGGCTTCTTTGTGGGAGGTGAACATGGTAGATTCCCACTCATATGAAGCTCAAGAGTGAGTTTGCTTAGCTCTACAGAATATGGACTCTCTGACAAGGAAATAATCCTTTGGCACATGTCATTTCTTTAGCGTTCAATGCACTAAAACCATATTTGTTAGGAGCAACAATCACCCGCTCCACACTAATTAGTAGAGGCAATGGTTAGTTATAGAGGTGTGCCATGACCATTAAACCTTAAACTTGTAATCATTAATACTAAAAAGAGAAATTATTAAGCTATCTCCAAAAGGGTGTGCCATAACATCTAATTTAAGTGGGATTAATGCCAAAATGAATAATTGCAAGCAACAATGGCCTCACATTGCTATATTAGTCATTAAATGCTTTTTTTTCATTTTTGGTGTCAATCAAAGTGGCCCAAATTTCCTTGTCATTTTAGGCTATGTTATGGTAAATTTTTTGTTTTAATGTTCTTGAGAATAAAAAGAGGAGAATGTCAAATGATTTCTGACAGTCAAGTTGTCATTAGCATTGCAAAGAACCCTGTGCATCATGACTGAACCAAACACATTGAGATTCATAGACAGTTTATCTTTGAAAAGGTCAATAGTGTCATTATACACTTAGGGTCTGTTTGGAACAACTTTTTGTCGACTTTGCGTTTCAGAACGCCATCACAGTTCTATTTGGGGAATTGTTTTCTTCCTGCTTTCTAAAAATTTTTGTGATGAGAAACAGTTTTTTCAACCTGCCCTTTAAAAGTGTGGTGATTGTAAAAACTACTATCTAATTTTTTCAATATATAAATATATATATATATATATAAATAATTCTCACCGCAAATTTCTAAGTTGTTTTTTCCGCCACAGCTTTACAACTATGTTTTTAAGAAGCTGCAGTTGCTCCAAACAAACGTTTTGGGTTGGTGGGACAGTGCTACGCCGCGATTTTTTCTATTTGGCAAAATTTTTTCTATTTGGCAAAACTTCGTTTTGTCTGCGTTCTCAATACTAGCATGGTGAGAAAACCACAAAAATCTGTATTGTTTGTTGGTTTGTGTAGGAGGAGGTAATGAAACTACTATGAGGAAATCACATATCTCCAAACAAGGCATATAGTTGGCACTTTTAAAAACATCTATTTCTACACGAGCCTTTGCTAGACTCAAAATAGTTTAGAGATAATTTGAAAATCATTATTTGGGATTCCATGTTGCTTCTTGATTTTCATACTTTCAGATGACTAAAATAATACCAAACCAGTAAGCATACGGAGGCAAAGTTTGTGTTTAGTAGGTTTGGAGATTTCCGCTTAGGAATAATCTTACTACCTCAGCTCTGGATAAGACACTAAATTTAGAATCTAACAGGTTTTGTTTTCCTGCAGCTACTGAATAGTTAGCAAGCACCAAACACAAAAACGCTTACACTAGTTTAAACATGATTATAATTTTGTTTTTGCAAATTCATCTTTAAGAGAACCTATGAAATAAATTTCTTTTGATCAACCATGATCGGCTCTAGATGTCTTGGTTCTAGAAGATATAATCAACTCAACCAAATCTGAGAGAATGAGTTCTTATGTCTTGTTGGATTGTTGTTAAATGGTGGGCTGTATCAACTCATCTCTTGGAGGCAAAGAATCTAAATAGAGCAATCCAAATAGCTTTTTTATCCATTTTGTAATTTTCCAATTTTTTACTTTTTAAATAATTATTGAGCAAGAAAATTGAAATTTTTTCCCCTGAAATGGAGTTGGGAATGCTAAGAGATGAGCAATTTTTTTTTGAACTTCTTAAAATTATGACATTGTTTCTTATCTTTTGACTTTCTTTCTTTTTTTTTTGTTTACCTTCTCTCTCTCACCTTCTTTCAATTCACAACAAGTTATAAGGTAAATTCAATATTTTTTACCTTCTTCCAAAACTTTCAAATCAAACCTCAATATAAGTCTCATTACTTGGGTTTTGTGGACTGATTCGATTCATGATGTGATGATATCTGACATTAAAATGTTGTTGGACGTATGTCTTAACAAATACCAAAATGTCAAACTATGTTACCCAAGTATCCTTTCATCCTAGCCAGTTTTACTTTATATAGACCAAGAAGACCATTATGGATCATCCTAACAACAAGTGGATCTTCCAAAAAATCCTTTCATGTGGAGGAAGCTTCCTAGACTATAGCACTCTTGAGTATGTTGACCCCAACTTTGGGACAACAGCCCAAGTCAAACCCAAAGCAATCATTGCCACTCCACACTATATAGAGGCCATGATTTTCCAATTACTTACATTCTAAGTCTTTAAGTTATTTAGTCCATCTGATAAGGCAGAATATCTTCTATTGCAAAGTTATGTCACAAAATTGGCAGCTTTGTAGAGCATTTCACCTTGACCTATCAGACCATCTTGTACAAGAAAACTTGCAATTGGTAACAAAGATCCCCTAATTAAAAACCTAAGAAATAAAAATGTGTCTAACTATTATGCTCAGAGCCCATTGAAGACTTTGGGCTACGGAACCATGGAGCTTTGATGTTTGCAACCATCCCACAAACTCCTTTGACTATGGAAATTTATAATCTAGATAGGGTTTACCGACCATTAACCTATCTCCTCAATGTGCAAAAACAGTGATAAATTTTAAAAACCATTAATAACACGGGAAGTTATCCACAACATAATATCAGTATGAGTTTCATGACATTCTTAACAGACAGTACACTCCCAAAATTGGGAGGGGTGATTAAAAATAGGAGCTTAAACCCATGAGAAGCCTCAAACAAAAAATATAAAGTCCAATCTCCAATGTGAAGGCAAAATTTACAAATAGAGTTTCTCCGTTGTTTAATCAACCTCCTGAAAATTCATATCTCAAATCAACTTGAGCCAGTGAGCTTTTAGATCTAACAACAATAAATTCTCAAATGCCAAAGAACTGAGGTAGAAGAGAGAAAAGAATGGATAGATGGGCACTCCAAGAAATGAGGCAGCAATGCATATAGAAGATTACAGCAAAACAACTTCAAATGCTCGAGCCAAACTAGAAAAGTAGCTTCAACCAGTTTCCAACAAAATTGCAACCTTATACTTTACATGGTTATGAGAAAAGTATAACCTACGTTTCATTCTAAGATATACAGATTAAACTTCTAAGACAATGAAGGAAAGCATCAATTTATCATTCAAATCACAATCATTTATGCTCACGTAAGCTATTGAAACTGCAACTAACCATAGTAAAACTTTATAAGACTTTATGATTCCTTCCAAAATGATCGCTTCAATGCTCCATATCCATTCTATAAGCTGCAGGATCACTTGCCTCCCTCGACCTCCAAGAAGTAAACTCCAGTTCCTTTTGCCTCAACTCCAGAATCATTCTTTCATTCTCTTTCATCAACCTTTCATTCTCCAGCCTCATCTTCTCCATTTCCCTATCCTTCTTGCTCCGAAACCTCTGCCACTTAAAGTTCCTCTTCTTCAATTCTAAAGCATCAGACAAAATCACCAATCTCTCCTGTTTAATTTGCAATGCCCGTCTTTGGAACCAATCCAACTTCTCCGAAGCTGTTCTATTGTTGTCCTGAAACACCAAATCAATTTCAGCAAGGAACTCCTCAATATCCAATTGCCCATACTCTTCACTCTTCTCGTCATCATCGTCCCCATCCTCACTATCCTGACCAACTTCAGGCAAAATGCCAGAACATGCTAGAATTTCACTCTTCAGTCCAAAAATATGTGAATCCGGTATCGTCTGCCCATTGTGATAAGCACACATCTCCCTGTAAAACAGATGCTTCGAACTCAATATCTTCTTCACATCCTCCTTCATCTTGGCAGAAACATATGTCATCGACTCCAACAAAGCCGGGTTTTCCACAACCATGCAAGTAGTTCCACGGCCAAGGATCTCATTCAATCTCTTGTACCTTTTATTGAGGTCATTGAACTTGTCCTCACATTGCTGAGGAGAAACAAAGCAACCCTTTTCCTTCATTAACTTGGAGACAGCTTTCCATTTGCCTTTCTTCTGAAGAATGGATCGCCGCCGCGCAGCAGCTTCGACTGGGTCAGGCGTGCCTTCATCGTTGATGAAAGCAACCACGGTGACAAGGAGACGAACCATCTCATCAGTCCATTTCATCCGATGCCATTGGGATTCCTGCTTAGCGCTCTCGCCAAAAGCGAAGGAATCGTCTTCTTCATCGCTGGGAGAGGGAGAGGTGCCGTGGCTTGGTAGTACATGGCAATTGGGAACAGCTGGCCGAGCCTGAACTTGGCTAGATCCGCCGTGATGGCATATGTTGATTGAGGGATCGAGATCGAGCGTTATAGAAGAAGTCCCGTGAAGCAGACGGCCGGTTATCGTTGAGTTGTCCATGCTTGGGAGACTTTAGGGATCGTTAACGATATGGACAAAGAACCCTAAAAAATCTAATTAAGCATAGAATTATCCGTGTTTGAGCGATAAAAAGGATTGAAAATTGTACATGAACCCTAGAATTGCGAAGAAGCAGCAATCAACAATCAAAACAATATAAAATAAGAATAATCGAAACAATCTGAAATGGACAAAAAATAGGGGTTTGCCTCTACGGATCCAAGTGTAAAATTGGGGGAATTCGGCATTTCGGGACCGTTGGGGCTTTTTAGAATATTTTGTGAACTTGAATCGAATTCTTCCCCAATAAAATGTATTCTTTCCACTCATTTTCTTCAAGGGACATTTTACATGTCTTACGCCTAAACTTTACATTTATCCCACCAAAATGTTCCATATTGCATAAGAAAATACAATCATTTTAAGGTATAAAAAGTAAAATACCATTTCATGGATAGACCAAATGGCATTTATACCTAAAAATTAAAATTTAGGTATTAGATTTGTAAATGCAAAAGAATTGAGTGGAATATATGTAAATCTTTTTTTTCTAATATTAACATTTTATATAGTATATTTATTTATTTTTAGTTAACAAAATTTTTTTGATGCCAATAATTAGAGTGCGTTTGGGGTGGCGATGTGGTATCACACTGTAGTTTTTCTTATTTGATAAGATGATATTTTTGGCTACACTCTCAAAAAAACTGCAACTAAAAGCTATGTTTTCCTATCAAACCTAGCTACCTGCAATGACAACTAAGAAGTTGGGTCTGACTTAAAAAAAATTGCAATAATCACCACAGCTTTTTGAACAACTGTTTTTTTTTCAGCAATTTCACAGCTATTTTTTTAAACAGCTGCAGCAACCCCAACAGATCTTTAGTTTTTGTTTTAAATTATGAAAGCTACTTAACAACTAAGGGTGCATTTGGAGCGGCTGTTGTAAAGTTGCTTCTTGAAGAAGTAGCTTTCAGGAGTTGCCAGAAAGCTGTTGATGAAGATGCAGATGTCTGTTTAGGAGATTTGTTCTGCTGTTGCTGTTTCCGATGAGAAAGACAGTTTTGTCCTTATATATGTAATAAATTGAAATAAATGTAGTTTTTCAGAATATTCAGAACTAAATAACAAAAAGAGGTTGTATTACCAAAAAAACTGACAGCCTTGTTCAAAATACTATAATACATAATAAAATGATAAATTATTTGAAGCAAATAGCTATAATAATGAGGACAACAATGATAATCAACAAGCTTAGAATGATGTTTGTCTTGAAATCTTGATGATCAAGTCTTTGGAACAATCTCCTCTCCATTTCTGCATCTCTCCTCGACTGATCATGGTCTGGTGGGTCCTCATCAGTGTCATTACCCAATAGAGAAATCGTAATCTGCAAGAGTCCTATTTTTAGGACAATAATAAAATCTTCTCTCATAGTTGTCTTTCCTTTTAGACATCTACTAAACACACCAGTCATCACAATAACAAAACGGAACTTTCAAAGTGCCTGATGAGCTTGAGCTCATATTTTTTGTTATAACATTACATAATTACTCTAATTAACAAAAATTAATAAATACAACATTCCAGATAAATCTTCTCTCATAGTTGTCTTCCCTTTTAGAAATCTACTAAACACACCAGTCATCACAATAACAAAACGGAACTTTCAAAGTGCCTGATGAGCTTGAGCTCATATTTTTTGTTATAACATTACATAATTACTCTAATTAACAAAAATTAATAAATACAACATTCCAGATATTTAAAAAAATATAAGTAGCCTTATCATTAAGAATTAAAGGTTGTTGGTACAGAAACAAGAAAAATACAATACAGATTGGTGCAAATATTTTAAAAAATATACATTTAGAAAAAAACATAGAGATGAAATATGAGTCATCAACTACAAATAATTAGTTGATGCTACAAAAGTACAATCATTGTATTCACCAACACATCAATAATTTTTTTTCTTAACTTTAACATCTCCTCGACGTCTTCTCCCTTAGAAGTTTTGTATTAATTTGTCCTAAAGTCCTCTCCTTGCACCGAAGGTCCAACTTGATGTTGGTTAGCTTCCTCAGGCATGCAGGTAGGATCATCATCAAAGACCCTAAAATTGATATCATCTCAGGATGAATGTCTCTGTATAAATTTATGGAGCGCGGTCGTTGCAAGAACCTTCTTCACCTGTTTTTTTGATAGAATATGTAGGCATATCTCAGAGTATGACCCACTTCTTCTTCCATACACAAATGCTCGCTCGATGACACTATGTAATGAAGAGCGGTCTTTTGTTGAAGAGCTCATTCCTCCATCTAATCACTTGGTTGCTAAGCTCAAAGGCGGGGAGGTGATATCTTGTGTCGGGAAATAGCTTCAAAAAACCACATTGTAGTGGATATATCGAATCGACAAGATAGTACTTTCATGAATAATTACAACATTAATGATTTTTTTTAAAGAGAAATATAATAATGATGGATTAGTTAGATGCACCAACCTTGCAGAGGCATCATGAATTTGTATTCGGAACATCGAGTTGCAAATTTGAATATTCTACTATCGTGTGCACTCTCTTTCCAACCAGCCATCACGAATGTAAAATATATATTAAAATCACAAAAAATGAAATAATGCTCAACATTCTCTCCCAAAAATGTTACTCCACATTGAGGAGGAGGCAATTGCAAACAATTTGACCAGCAAAATATGTCAGACAAACTGAAAACCAGTGCTCATATACCTATCTAAAGAAAATAAACCAACAAAAAAAATTGAAATAAGCAGATGAGCATTCTTCATATATATTCATCACATTGCTTCTACTAATTATTCAGAACAGGTAAGGATGATACTGACTTATCTATTATGCAAACTTCAAATGTGCAGCAAATCATATACAATTCAATTTATAAAAGTCTCAGCATAAGAAAACTAAAAAAAATGGAGTAGTGCTTAACGTTTTACACCCCAAAATGTTATTGTACACTGAGGAGAAAATAAGAGCGAACAATTTGGCTAGCAAAATTTGTCAGAAAAACTGAAAATCAGAGCTCAAATATACATGTAAATAAAATAAACCAACAAAGAAATCTAAAACAAATATACGAGCATCGTTCATATATATTTCATCTCATTGCTTCCGTTGATTGATCAAAACATGTAAGGATTTTGCTAACTTATCTATCATGGATACTTCAAATGTGCAGCAAAACATATGCAATTCTATTTATAAAAGTTTCAGACAAAATAAAAAAAAGAAGCAGTACTCAACATTCTCTCCCCAAAATATTACTCTATACTGAGGAGGAGACAAGAGCAAACAATTTGACCAGCAAAATTTGTTAGAAAAACTGAAAACTAGTGCTCATATATCAATCAAAAGAAAATAGACCAACAAAGAAACTTAAATAAATAGATGAGCAATGCTAATATATATTTCATCCATTATCTCCACTGATTGATTAGAATAAGTAAAGATGTTGTAACTTATCTATTATCCAAGCTTCAATTGAGCATAAAAGAATATATTGTTATATTTATTAAAGACTCAAATAAACTAAAAAAGAAGTAGTGCTCAACATTCTCCCCCCAAAATGTTACCCACACTGAGGAGGAGGCAAGTGCAAACAATTCAACCATCAGAATATGTTAGACAAACTAAAAACTAGTACTCATATACCTATTTAAAGAAAATAAATCAACAAAAAAATGAAATGAATAGATGAACATTGCTCATATGTACTTCATCCCGTTGCTTATATTGATTGTTCAAAATAAGTAAGGATGTTGCTATTTTATATATCATGTAAACTTCAACTGTGCAGTAAAGCATATGCAATTCTATTTATAAAAGTCTCATAGAAAACAAAAAAAAGTGAGTAGTTCTCAACATTCTCCACACCAAAATGTTACTCTGCATCCTAAGAATCAAGACTTAAAATGCAAATCTCATTATCTAAATTTGAGATATATTTGCGTCCTACTACATAGACCCATGTTAAAAAGAGAAAATAAATAAATTAGTTATATTCTAATACATTCATAAAAGATTACATTGATCTACAAAAATCTAGGCACAAATTTTAATCGAAAGCTTCAAAAATCAAATTTGAAAATGTCTACACTCTGATTTATGATAATGTGAAGGGTCTTAGGGAAATGAACTAGATGACATCAAAAATGATCTCACTTGAGTCCAAGTGGGTTTGGATCATGCACTTAAAGCATAATTGAAAGCTTTGAATATATTTTTGGGGACCAAATGATCTCCATTTCTGACAAGTTTATAGTCAAATTGAGCATCTCCATAAGTTAAATCCATCAAGCTTAATATCACTTAATTTTAAAATCATTTAGATACTTAAATGCTTATAAAATATCATCTGATCAAAGATATCATTTTGAGTTGTCGGATGGAGCGGTCCAAATTCATGCAACATTTATGGAGCATGTCACTCACAAAATCTACAAATGGACCCTCACTCTCTTCATGAAGGGAGAGCTAGACCTGGAAGACAAAGTTAAAGGAGCTCCAATCTCTTAAAGTTTCCTAAATCCCACCATATTTGACTACTGTTGACTGGCCGATGCCATCGCCAGACCATCGTTGTTGCTACCCCACCACCATCATCATTGATGCCCGACCACTGCCACTAAGCCATCACCGCCTCTAAACTGTCGTTGTCAGGACACCGTCGACTAGCTAACACCATCACCACTAACCGACGACCGTAATCAAGTCACAGTATCCATTAGACCACCGTTGTCATCCACTACCATCAAGCAGTTGCAATAGTCACACCACCACTACCCAACCACCTTTATCGAGTCGTTGCCACAGTCAACCACTATCATCAATGCCCAACCACTGCCACTGAGTCACTGCCACTACCAGACTACGACTATCTTGTCGTTGTTGCCACTACGAGAACACCACTAATGAGCCACAACTTTTAAGCTAGCGCTGCCTCTGGAACACCACTATCAGCCACAACTTTTAAACTAGCGCTACCTTTGGAACACCTATGTCATATCACTACCGCGACAACTAGAACAATGCCACCGCCGCCATACCACCTTTTATCTACCACTGTCATTTGATCGAAGCCACCATTAGACCATCTTTTCCACCACTGGACCACTAATTTATATCCATCATAAATGAACTGCTGCTAGCCAACCTCCACCACTATT